AACAATATTAAACAAAGAGAGCCGTAAACATAGACAAAAGAATGCGCGTGCGCATGCATGCCGCAGTGGGATTGTATGAAAATGCGCTATACAAACACTCCGTACATCCGTCCGGTTGCTTGCTGAATAAATGACATACCTTCACACTGCAACAGACCTTATTTAGGGTCGGTAGAATATCGAAACTCAACAAACAAAACGCGCCTAATAATATAAAATTAAATAAACGTTATTCAGTGTTTATCCAAATCACGAAAAATTAAGATGCAGCTACACCAAATGACAGCAATTGCAAGCATAAATTATAGATCTTATAACCTTTAATGTTTCACTAAGGAATGATGTGAAATATGAGGAGCCAGATTTCATAGCGGGGGAAGTTAATTTGTCCGGAAAATGTAAACGGTTCTATGTTTCTGAAATATCAGTTATATTTTATATTAATTAAATATTTATATTTTATACTAATTCGAATATCGCTAAAAGTAGAAAAAAACCGGCCAAGAGCGTGTCGGACTCGCGCACCGAGGGTTCCGAACAAATCCGTACGTATATAAGTATAAAATTATTAAAAATATTTTTATTATATGATGTAACTAAAATTTATGCTTTTCGCAATTTTTCCTTTATCTGTTACATAATACGTTGCGTCTTACCAAATTTTAAGATTCTGAGTTCACGGGAAGTACTCTGTAGGTTTTGATTCCCTTGCGAATGTCGAAAATTTGCGGCATAAACGGCTGTATTTTATGATTGCGTTGGCTTAAAAGTTTGATTTTTTCACAGCTCCAAGAGACAGTAGACTTGAGTATTTGATATAAATTTCAGCTTGATACCTCTACGAGTTCCTGAGAAAAAGGGTCTTGACAGACAGACAGACAGACGGACAACAAAGTGATCCTATAAGGGTTCCGTTTTTTCCTTTTGAGGTACGGAACCTTAAAAATTAAAAAAGAGTGGGAAAGGTGTAAAAAATTAAGGAGCAAACTACTGAGGAATTTTTTTTGTGTATTTTCATACAAGAAACCGATAAACTTGTATTAAAAACGCAATTTCCTTGTAATGATCTTGTACAACAAATAACTTCACTTCACTCCCAACTAGCTACACCTGGTCAGCTTAAAATTATTAGCTCTCATTAGTTTTATTCAATTTTTTTATAGGTTAGGGTGACAAACGAGCACACAGTCCACCTGATGATAAGCGGTTGCTGTGACCTATAGGCATCTACATTTATCCAGATGCGTCGTCACCCGTGAGGACTAAGATGCCTCTTTTCGAATAAAATGGGTCTCCAGTATAATTTCAAGTAAATATAAAAAATCATTACATCTCGTCTTCGTTATTAGTAGTAATTGACTAGGAGTAGCTTCGAATGTAATAGACTTTTTTTTATAGGATAAAGTTGACAAAAGAGCACACAGTCCAAATGATGGTAAGTGGTTGCTGCGGCCCATAGATATCAACACCTATCCTCTATTACATACTAATAATATAGCTGCAGCTTGGCTCTACCACGTAAAACATGACGACTTCTGGCACGGTAATCGTAAATTCGATTATTCATACAACTGGAGATGGCATGAGCAGCAGTGGACTTTTATGGGCTAACAAAGAAATAAAAAGACATTAAATCAGCTATTCGAATGTTAATTAAAGCTGATTTAGTGTCATAGCGGTCAGCCACCGTAGAATGTACTTCACCTGAGGATGCCTTGTATAGAGGCGAAACACGTATTACCGACGATATTAACGACGGTTGTGTCTTTCCTAGTGTAGTGGTGTTGGGAGTAGTGGTGCTGGATTTAGTGGTGACGGGGATAGTACAGGCAATTGAGGGAGGGCGGGAGGTGCTCCTCACACTAGGTAAAGGTACTAGGTTTTATTTTATTACGTGGTTCTTAGCGAATTGATTTTTAACATTTTTATATCTATTTTAATATATATATAAATTTAATAAAAAATAAACTGCTAAGTTACTTCAAGAGCTTAAAAAATAAAATGATTAGACATTCTGAAGGCGGTGTTCAGACATAATGTACATATAAAAATTATTTAATTATTTTTAGTTCTGTGAAGCCGGATTTTACTTCTTATTAAAAATTAATTTTCCTACTATTTTGAATTTTTTTTCTTTATAGAATAGGTTGACAAACGAGCACACAGTTCACCTGATGGTAAGTGGTTTTTGTGACCCATAGACATCTACATCTAAGCTCGATTACGAATCAAAATGGAAAAGCGTTGTCACCCGTGAGGACTAAGATGGAATGCCTTGTTTCCAGTATAAAGGGTCTCCTGTTCTCTAAACTTACTAAACGAAACACAGCAGCGTTGAGCTTCTATTTTACACTGGTATGCTGTGAGAGGGAAATATGTCATGAAAGTATGTATAACAATATTTTTATGTCAACGTTGTAAAAAGTTAATATTATTTTAGATATCAATGTCTGTCTATGGGTCACAGCATTCACTTACCATCAAGTGGACTATGTGCTCGTTTGTCATCATTACTCTATAAAATAAAATATATATATATATATGTGTACTTAAAATTATTAGATATTATCTGCTCCCCGCGACATCGCCCGTGGAGATTATTACGATGAGATTTTATGGGTTTTAATTTGTTCGCGCGGAACATTTTTCTAAAATAAAAGTGCGTAGCATTAGCTATCTGCAAGTGAAAGACCCGTCAAAATCGATCCAACCGTTTTGGAGATTAACCGGAACAAACAGACAGACAGACAAAAATCTTAAAAATTGTGTTTTTGTTATAAGTACCGTACCTATATACTTTCATATGTATTTAGTGGAAAGTTGTTATTTTGACATTACAAACAGACACTTCAATTTTATTTATTTGCATAGATTACTTAAGTTTTGCCAAGTTCAATTTGTGGATTGATTCATTTATCTGAACAGTGTGCTTAACTTTTTTTTTATCTAACTCAAACAAACTTTGCTCGAATGTGGGTCACGGTTCAAAAAGGTTAAAATGAACTGATACGCTTTAGATATATTTAATTTTAAACATTAACCGTTCTAAATTTGACGATGAAAAGGAAACTATGAAGGGTTCTGATTTCATTCTAAATTGGAAACGTAAAGGCATATAAATATGTTTTATACATTAAAATTTTAATAAAAAATTGAGAGGTAGATTGCGATATAGGTAGAAGTTTGGAGAAGGAAGATATTATTTAACAGATTCCTTGTCCGCGATATGTAACAATAGTTAAACAATCGAAATATACATATATAATTCATGGGACAGGGAAGGGGTTAACCCTGTTATGTAAAACATATTACCAAACGATACCTCAAAGGAATTGAATCGTACTTACTAAACATAGGATTTCCTCAACCACGTATATTTTTGAAAATATTATTTGTCTCAATTGAACATTAATAATTATATAACCTGTGAAAAAAAAACATACTCTAGACTTTATAGAGTTGGGGGCGGGTGAACCTAATCTACATCTCTTCAAAGAAAGCATTTTACGTGATATACAAAGTTGGATGAAGGTAAAGAGGCCCGACATGTACCTACCCTTGGGTTAAGTAGTAACTATTCACAAATCTGTGCTAGGGGGCTCTATATGGCTTAATCCGGCTCTGTGTGGAGCCGGTGTAGGTTACAGTTCTGTCTGTGATAAAGCTCACTCCAAAATCCAATACATTCTCAATTCTCATTGTGATTTGGCCTTTGCCCTATATCCTATAGATAGAGATATAGAGGGTATATTGTTCCGTTCCTCTCTGTCAATCTTCGAAGCCCAAAACCTTGTTAATAATATGGCGGCTGCCAAGCAATTATTGTAAGACTTGGCCATACAAGATTTTAATGAGACATTAACCGAACTAAGTGTTAATCCGAACATTAAAAGTTTGCGGTTCTGGAAAAAATAATCGCGGGTTTATTTTGAAATGAATTAAGTTTTATAAACTAACCAGCTATGTGCATTAGTGTTATTACATCTACTAAACCAGCTATTTGAGCATCGACGTCTATGCTCATAGAGATTGCTGTTTTATAAAACCATTTTAAATGCACTTCATGCCAATGTTGATCGTTATTGTAAACTTTAAACATTTAATATTTAATCATTCCTTGTGTGGATAATTTTAGGTAAAAAAATTTTTTTTTACAGAGTTATTCTTTTGTTTAAAAAGTGCAGATGCAAGTATGATTACATAATTTATAAAGGCAAGTTAATTAAATATTTCTCGGGATAGTTAGCTCTTCGTTCTTGTTTTAAAACAGTTAATTTTACCTAATGCAAAATATTTCACGACGACACGAGTCCAGTGTCAAAACAAAAAAGCTCACGGATTCCAAACCGTTCCTGAAACCCGTTTTTATCGAGTTCTTGTTCCTTTTACCTGACCCATTCGCTATTCAATTCATTTTCTTCGCGAACGATCCCATGAAATCTAATCGTAACATAATTTATTACGATTGCATTTCATGGGTTTTAATTTTTTCCGCGGAACTTTAATTCTTTTTCTAATATAAAAGTAGCCTAAGTTACTTCTTATAACATCAGCTATCTGCCAGTGAAAGTCTGGTCAAAATCGATCCAGCCGTTTCGGAGATTAGCCGGAACGAACAGAGACAGACAGACAAAAATCTTAAAAATCGTGTTTTTGTTATAAGTACCGTATACACTTTCATATGTATTTAGTAAAAAGCTGTTATTTTGATATTACAAACACACACTTAAATTTTATTTATTTGTATAGATTAATATTAAATTAAATATGACATTTTAGAGACATACATTTAGAGATTAACGTAAAAAATAATTAAATGTTTTTGTATAACCAATTAAAAAAAATGTCGCATAATTAATTTAATTTTAAGAACATTTTCTAACGTAACAGAAGAATGTTGAAGACGTTAAAAAAATAAAACATTATTTTAAACAAAAAAAAAAATAACACTGGCCTTAAATAAAGGAAAAAGTTTGGATATTCGTTAAAAATGTACTCACAGTTGGAAGTAGAACTCCCGCCAAAAAGTCGAGGCTGTCTCACCGAGCGCGCACCGTCGACTGCCGCTGATCCCCACCGGCGCCCGCGCCTACTCATCATTCCAGATATTTTATGTCATATTTTATGACATTAATGTCATAACAGCACGCGAATTTTTCACGCAATTATTGATTTGTATACTTATATCAAAAGTATTGTCTATTAGTATACCAAGTGATCTTTAGAGATAATCAGGATTATAGTGATTTTGTTGTTTTATTGAAGACCTTAAATTTTTTATTTACACATACATCAACACTTGTATGGGTGTAATACAGAATATGACAGCCTTTTTAAGTGCCAAACAAATACACGCGCAGTGCACTGTCAATCACAGTGACCTACGAGGTTCTGGCAAACGACAATGGCGGAAAATCGTTCCAAAAACGCTGATTCTACAATTCACAAACAGGTTATGGTAAATACGGATACTATTGGAAGGATGTTATCGGATATCGGATCCGATTACCCTCTTCCGCACGGTAAGTAAAAGGCAACTTTTTCAAGAAATGCTTGCAAGTTTACCCATTGTCGTTCAACTGTAGATACAAAAACAAATACCAATGAATTACCACTATTTAAAAAGACAATTTCAATTAGCAAATTTAAAAATTACCCAAGTCAATTTTGTAATGAAACGAAGAAAAATCCTTATTTGACTTATAACAAGAAAAATAAGTAACTCGGATGGGCAGCGTTCACTAGATAATGAGGTACGTAAGTAAATTATACTTCAGTAATTACGACACATCTCTTCATTTTTAAACGTGGTAGAGCAATACTGCAGCTATATATATAGTATAGTTGTAACACGAATGGATCTGCTCGACCGGGGAAGGACCACGCTCTCACAGAATACCAGCTTAATGCTGCTGTGCTTCGTATGGTGAGTGTAGAGCCGGAGACCCTTGTTACTGCAAAAGAGTCATTCCATCTTTGTCCTCACGACTGACAACGCATCTGCATTTTGATTTGCAAACGAAGATAGATGTAAATGTCTATGGGCCACAGCAACCACTTACCGTCAGGTGGACTATGTGCTCGCTTGTCACCCTTAACCTATAAAAAAACGTATTCCTTTAAGCTCTATGCTGAGGTATGAAGAGGGCTATGCTCGGAGGTTCTCTGAGTAAAATAATTCGTTATGAGGATATTCGCAATAGAAAGAACCAGATTAATCGACATAGGCCAATAGCAGTAAGTTGTGGTAATGGACTGGCCATATAGATCGAACAACCGTCAACCAATAGAGATTTGATATAATATGAATTTTTAATTTAGGACTTTTGAACTTTTTTTTAATTAATTATTGACATCCATGTTATGTGTATTAAGATTTAAGAGTTTTTAATCTTGAATTTATCATAAAATTATAATTAAACATGTTTTTTTTTAATAGAATCATGTATACATTTAAAAAAAATATGTATTTGCATGCCACTGGCTAAATATGCTTGTACTATCTTTAATTATAATGTCTGTAAGTCTGTAACCACCATATTTCTGGCAAATAAATTATTATTATTATTATTAAGACACGTTCTAAAGTGGCAGCTTCGTACCGGTACGTTTAAAACCGACAGTCCTTATTAGTAGTGTACGGACCATGAATTCAAAAGTCGTGAATTCGAATCCGCCGTTCGGCTATTGTCGTGAAATACTCCTAACAAAAGCATTTAAAGCTTACTTGGAGGGATTTACACTGAGTAGTTATGAGCAAGCTACACTTATTTATACTCTTAAGGATTTATAGGTTAGAATAGCATTGCTAGTTATTAATTTTATTTAAAATGTAGGGAGTTATTACGATTTCTGTGGTTGGGAGGCACCACTAGATGGAGTGACGACCAGGAAACCACAGAGTACTTTTCCATAAACCGAAACTAGTAACACACGTCGGGAGTCGATGGATGCAGGTGCTTTAGTACCTCGTTTTGTGGCATTCCTTGATGCAATTTGCGGCATGTGGATTCAGACTGTTAGTGAGATATGTGTTTATCTTTGTCGGTATTAATTTGATTTAATACCAGGTGGCCCATAAGTCGTTAGAAATGTAAATTTCGAATAAAATACAAAAGGCGCGCATGAGTGGCGCGCGCGGTGCGGGGGAGTACCGACGGTTTCTGGGAATTCAGTCGCCACTTCAGTCGCCACAGAGTACTTTTATATATACTTCAGTCGCCATGGAGCGTTTCACCGGTGCGGACCGTGCATTTTGTGTGCGCGAGTTTTATCGAAACAATGATTCGGCTACCATTGCGCGGCGTAAATTTCGAGAATATCAGAATTTACGCAACTTTAAAGACATTCCAAGTGTTCAAACGATTAAGAACTGGGTTATTAAGTTCGAAGAGAGTGGTTCGACGTTGGATAAACAACGGTCAGGTCGACCAAGGACATCACGGACTGAAGAAAACATCGATGTAGTGAAACACTCAATTCGTTAAAATCCTACCCAGTCTACTCGTAAGCGTTACAGTGCATTAAACTTACCCAGAACATCGTTACAGCGAATTTTAAAGAAAGATTTACATCTTCACCCGTACAAGATTCAGTTAGTACAGGAATTAAAACATACTGACACTATCCACAGACTAAATTTCGCAAATGAAATGTTGAACCGCTTTACTTCGTTTAATAACGTGTTATTCTCTGATGAGGCTCACTTTCACATCAACGGCCATGTCAATAAGCAAAATTGTCGCTACTGGAGTTGCGAAAATCCAAATCGCAAACATCAAAAGCCCTTACATAGCCCTAAAGTGACAGTTTGGGCGGCTATGTCAGCGCATGGCATTATAGGCCCTTACTTTTTTGAGGACGGCAGAGGCCGCGCGCTTACTGTTACTTCACAACGGTATGTAGCTATGATCCAGGACTTTTTTACACCAGAGTTGCAGAATTTTCCAGGCTTCAATACGCGGACCTGGTTTCAACAAGATGGAGCAACTGCCCATACCTCTAACGTCGCTATGCCGGTCGTCCGTCAACTTTTCCCTAATAAAGTGATCTCTCGAAGAGGAGATATTTCTTGGCCACCACGTAGTCCAGATCTGACCCCAATGGACTTTTTCTTATGGGGTTATCTTAAGACTAAAGTGAACGAAACCAACCCGCGGACAATTGACGTCCTGAAAGAAAATATCCAAAGAGAAATGGCAAACATTACAGAGCTTACTTGCCACGCAGTGATGGATAATTTTAAACGTCGCTTACAGGAGTGCCGCGATCGTAACGGATTACATTTAGATGATGTAATTTTTAAAAAATAATTCCCATTTTATAAGGATTATGACAAAATAAAAACCTTTTTCATAATGTCATTAGTTTTTTTTTAATTATTTTTTTACATTTCAAGGGACTTATGGGCCATCCTGTATAACAGTCTGGGCGTCTTCAAGACTTTTGTTACGCTAAGACTGTGTTATTTAACATCTAGTGCTTCATTCCTACTTACCATCAGCTGGGATTATAGTCTAGCACTGGGTTAACCGGTTCAGTGCGAATGGCACGCCAGGAGTGCCATCGATTACTTTTGTGTGTGGCGTATGATACACGAGTCGTGTTTTTTTTTAAAAATCGTTATAACTCGCTCAAATTGCGTTTTTGGAAATTTTATCCAGAAAATACAAAATATTCATTATTTTGCAAGTAGTTCATGCCTGCGGCTTCGTTTCTGGATATTTTGAAAATTTGAAATTTTTAGGGGTTGACAACCTTTTTTTAACTTGTACATGGTACTCTTTTTACTTTGTGAGTTTTCAATCATGTTGTGGAAAAATAGTCTAATAAGTAACAAATAATAGCACTCATGGCGATCGCTCACAAACTCCAAGTTGTAAATAAATTTCTGGAAAACAAATCTCCTGTTAAGAAAAACAATGCGTTTGTCTTATTCTTTAATTTTGCTTAAAATGAACTGCCGTCTTATTACTATCATATGGTCGAATAGACCTACGAAGTACCATGTGCTCTTGTGATATGGTATAAGGTTTATTTTAGCTTGAAACAGTTTGAAACCGTTCATGCATAATAAAAAGTTCGCTAATAAATAGTATTTTGTCAATCCGCCGCCGTTTGTTTCCTTTTGAAAACACTTGTTTTGCTATTTTTACTAATTAGACGTTTTCAGATCGACTTTACTTTTACATTTGTATTTTTTTTATAGGAGGGGGCAAACATGCATGCGGTTCACCTGATGGTAAGTGACTACCGCCGCCCATGAACAACTACAACACCAGGGGAATTGCAGATGCGTTGCCGGCCTTTTAAAAAGGAGTAGGCTCTTTTCTTGAAGGCCCTAAGTCGTATCGGTCCGGAAAAATCGCTGGTGGTAAACTATTCCACAAGGAAGTTGTGCGAGGAAGAAATCATCTTCTAAATCGCACAGTGGTGGACCGCCAATCATCCAGATGGTGTGGATGGTATCGGGAGTTCTGCCGCGATGTGCGTTCGTGAAATTTGGCGGCTGGGATTAATCCGAACAATTCCTTAGAGCCCTCCCCGTGGTAAATGCGAAAGAAAATGCAAAGAGATGCAACATCTCTTCGCAGTGCCAATGAGTCGAGCCGATCGGAAAGGACTCGGTCGTCGACGATTCGAGCCGCTCTGCGCTGGATGCGGTCAAGTGGAAGGAGCTGGCACTGGGGAGCCCTAGCCCAGAGATGGGAACAGTATTCCATGTGAGGCCGAACCTGCGCCTAGTAAAGTTGCAGGCGTTGAGCTGGCATGAAATACTGTCCCGCTCTGCTGAGCACGCCAAGCTTTTTAGAGGCCTATTTGGCCTTCTCTTCCAAGTGACCACGAAACTGCACGTCACTCGATATGTCTACGCCGAGGATTCCGATACTGGCTGAGGCAACAAGGGGAGTACCTTGAAACTGAGGAGATACGACAAAGGGGTTCTTTTTAGCGGTAAACGCGCAAACTTGTGTCTTCTGAGGATTAAACTGGACTAGATTTAGTCGCCCCAATCCAAGACTTTGTCCAGCAAAGACTCGACTTCAGACACAAGTTTGTTCCGGTACTCGGTGACGTTTTCCCGAGAAATATTGGCACAGCCGGTGTATAGAGCATCACCAGTGCTGTCATCCGCATAGCAATGAATTCTACCGGCTTGCAACATATCATTGATATGCAGAAGAAACAGCGTTGGTGATAGCACGCAACCTTGTGGAACACCAGCGTTAATAGGCTTATAGTCGGAGCATGCACCGTCTACAACGACCTTGATGCTCCGATCTGCAAGAAAGCTGGTGATCCAATTGCATAATTTCTCGGGAATATATATATATATATATATATATATATATATATATATATATATATATATATATATATATATATATGTATA